GATATTTTGGATCCGTGGCCAGGCAACTCCCCGGATCTCAATCCCATACAGAACCTGTGGTCAGTCCTCAAAAGGCGAGTGGACAAGCAGAAGCCCACAAATTGTGATCAACTCTGAGAACTAATAAGGCAAAAAAGGATCGCCATCAGTCAGGATTTGGCCCAGAAGCTATTATCCAGCATGCCAGTGCGAATTGCAGAGGTTATGAAGAAAAAGAGTCAACACTGTAAATACTGACTCATTATATTTTTTGCCAATAAAAGCCTTTAAAACTTATGATATGCTTATCATTGTTTCTCAGTATACCATAGAAACATGTGGAAAAATAATCTACAAATACTGAAGCATCAAACTTTGCAAAACACAAAATTTATGTCACTGCCAAAACTTTTGGCCACGACTGTAGTGTGGATTGATTAATTTAATCAACAATTAATTAGTTCTGATAAAAAATAAAAAATGACACAAGAAGCTTGTTCGTGATTCAGACTGAATTGAACAGATCACGCGGTGAACTCGTTTGAAGCGGTCTCTACCTCTGTAAAACTCGATAGGCCTGCTTAACAATACAGAAAACAAGCGCTGGATTAAGTGAACATTTACCCACAGTCAATTGAAAAAAGCGTCTGTTTGCCAGTGATGAAGGTCTTTTTAACACCTGCAAATAATGATTGCTATCTGATAGCATCACTGTCCGATGGTAATTTTGACAAACCGTCACGTTTATAAATATTTTAGATATGTTGCTGCTCATAGATGGGTATTGATGGTATCCTTTGCCGATAGAAAAGCCTCTTATATGAGTAACGTATAAAGTAGGCTACATAGTCCTTTAGAAAATGTTACCTTTTTGTTTTTGAACATCTTTGTTCTTGCTTAGGGACATGTGCACTTTACATATGCTAATTTGTTACTTTGTTCATTTCTCTTTATAGTAATGCCTATTTGTACATCCCATAACATAAAGTAGTTTTATTTGCTAGCCAGATATTTGTTTTATATTGCTTTAGGTGTTTTGCAGAGTCAAAACAACTCAAAATACAAGCGCTAACATTGTGGTTTGATCAATAACGTGGCGTTCTCCACTAGATGGCGCACATGCTATTAAAAGCCGGTACAAACTGAGAAACATCAACCACAACCCAAACCAGTAGTTGCTGATCATACTTTATTTGTAGCTTCAGATTACAATTGTTACAGCGCACATCATCATACTAACATTTCCATATTTTTCTCATAAAAATCAATTACTCAGACTGTCAGCCTTCTTGTCAGGGCTAACTTTATTTCTTTGAGATTTCCTGCAAGCATGGGAAGTCTGCAGTGTTTTTGGTCTTGGCATTATTTTCTGTTTAACAAAGAAATACAGAAAGTGTTCACATAGGGAACCAGACACATCAGGAAAAACATTAACAGCAGGGAGTCTATAGTTTTTAAATCTTTACATGGCTTGGCTCTGAACTATCTTTGTAATCTGCTCCTTCCCTACATCCAGACTCGATCACTTTGGTCTTCTGAATCTGGCCTCCTCTCTGTCCCTAGGTATTGCCTCTATTTTATAATATAAATTATTATTATTATTATTATCATCATCAACAACAACCCTGATTTGACCAAGGGTTTAATTTAGCAGGGTTTATGCAAGTTTTATGAAGGTAAATTCTAGACTATTTAAAGACCTTTTTAAGACAAAATAAAGATAGTTTCAGGAATAAATGGAAGGGAACACAATACCAGGGGATATAGTTAACTAAAACTAAAACTACAGAGAGAGAGAAAAAAAAAAAAACTATAGACATTAAAAGACAAAACACAACATTATTAAAACGTAATAAAAAAGATAAATAAAACTAGAGAAAGAGAAAAAAGTGAAACTTTTTTTCCAGTACAAATATCTAAAGATTCATCTATCAAGATACATTCAAACAAAATGACATAA